GGTGAGGTTGATGGGCCGAGCCACAGCGGTGCAGGAGAACAAATACAGCTAGTAGATAGATAGAAAGTAGATGAAATAAGAGAGTTGGAAGGGTCCTTGGAGGTCTTCTAGTCCAACCCCCTGCCCAGGCAGGAAACCCTAAACCACTTCAGACAAATGGTTATCCAACCTCTTCTTTAAAACTTCCAGTGTTGGAGCATTTACAACTTCTGGTGGCAAGCAGTTCCACAGGCTCATTGTTTCTCACAGTCAGGAAATTTCTAAGTTGCTTCTCTCCTTGATTAGTTTCCACATAGTCCTCGCCTTACAACCAAAACTGGGACCAATTTTACCAGCCTATTTTTTTTTTTTTTTTTTGCTCTGGTGGTTGAGCAAGTTATCGCCGTCATTAGATAGATCGTACAGTCATTAAGCAAATCCGGCTTCCTCCATGGACTCTTTGCTTGTCAGCTGGGGAGGTCGCCAATCACGTGACCGTCCTAAATACGAGCATCCGAATTTTGATCATGGGACCGTGCGGCGTTTCACAAGTTTGAAGACCGGTCGTAAATCAGGTTTTTTTTCCCCCCAGTGTCCTTTGAACTTCGAACGGCCACTAAACGAACGGTCGTAAGTTGAGGACTCCCTGCCTTCTTGAACACTTCATTTATTGCAATTGGATAGGAAAACGAGACTTCATAAGAGCAAAAATGGACCCCCCCTCCGTGTTTCTTCCTTGTAGTGACTCAAGCACCCTGAGATCTGACCGCCGTCATAAATCCGAGACATTTTTTTTCTCCCTCTTCTCTCCACAGGACATTGCCGTCATTTACAACGTTCCTCTGGAAAGCCTCTCCACCAACGTCCAAGGTATGGGATAGGGAATTCAAGGGATTTCTGAGCATGTGCAAAATTCACTTTTACTCGTGGACTTCGACTCCCAGAATTCCCCAGCCAGCATGGCTGGCTGGGGAATTCTGGGAGTCGAAGTCCACGAGTCTTAAAGGGGCCACGTTTGGAGACCCCAATTCATTGGTCCATGAACTCAACAAACTGGGTTCCCACCATATGGTACCATAAATTAACCATGGTTAACCAAAATGGTATCATAAATTAACCATGGTTCATATCAACCAGCTTGATCCCCGGATGCAAAATTTTGCAGCTTCAATTTTAATCCATCAATTCATCGTTCAATTTACAGCTTCAATTTAATCCGTCGTTCATTTTTTTAAAAAAAATTAATAGCTTCGCTGAAATCTTTTAATGAATGGCAAGTAGTCCTCGACTTACGGCCGTTCGTTTAGGGACCGTTCAACATCACAACGGCACGACGGTAAAAAAAAAAAGTGACTTACGACCGTTTTTCACACTTATGACCGTCGTGGCATCCCTGTGGCCACCTGATCGGACGCTCGGCGACTGACTCGTATTTATGACGGACGCAGCGTCCCGGGGTCACGTGATCCTTTTTGCGACCTTCTGACAGACAACAGGAAAGTCAGATCCACTGAATAACTGTGTCACTCACTTAACGGCGGCAAAGAAATGCCATAAAGTGAAGCAACACTCACTTCGCCGTTTTGCTTAATAATAGAACTTCGGGGCGCTATTGTGGTCGTAAATCGAGGACTAGCGGTACCCTGGAAGCCACCCAGAATCACTGCAAGAGTGAGAGGGCAGCATATCAATCAATCAATGTCAGCCAATCAATCAATCAACCAACCAACCAATCAATCATCAATGTACCCTTAAGTGTGCGGTGTGTCGCCTTCTTGTTTTTAATTTTTATTTTACTCCAAAGATTGAAATCCAAAATCCAAAAGAAAAAAATATTTATCAAAGACGAAACTAGAGAAGAACGTTAAAAAAAATGTGAATTAAAAAAACATTTTTAAAAAACATGAATTAAAAGAAAATTAAAAAAAAAAGTGAATTAAAAAAGGGGAGTCACCATCTGACCGCAAACGCAACACAAAAGGCCCCATAAAAATCCCTGCCCCCCCCAACTGCCCCCCCCTTTTCAGCAGGCAAAAGTCGGCCTTTCCCCCAAAACAGCATTTTCCTCCTTTTTCCTCTAGAACTGGAAAAAGCCGGATTCGGCCCCCGACCGAAATTTGAGTGTTTTGTGGCTGAGATCCCTCCGGAGCGGAAGAGCCTCGAAGGTCTGAGAACCCCAATGGAGACCCCTCTTTTGGGGGTTGGGGGGGCTGACAGGGCCAGGGGAAGAGGGGGGGCAGGGGGAAGGGGTAAAATATGGGGGTCACGGCTGTCCGTCTTAGCTGCCCCCTTGGCCCTCTTGGGGAGGGGGGGGCTCTGATGATACACACAGACCCCCCCCCCGAGGGATTTGCACCCCTGACTCTCTTGTGCACAGTAGCAGGGAGTTGCGTTGTTGTGTGAAATTAAGGAGACCCCACCTCAACTAGATGCCTTCCTTCCTTCCTTTCTTCTTCTTTCTTTTTCTCTCTTCCTCCTTTCCATCCTTCCTTCCTTTTTCATCTTTCCCCTCCCTTCTCTCTCTCTCCCCCTCCCTCCCTCTTTCTTTTTTCCTTCCCTTTCTCTCCTTCCTTCCTTTCTTTCTCCTTTCCATCCTTCCTTCCTTTTTCATGTTTCCCTTCTCTCTCTCTCTCCCTTCCTCCCTCTGTCTTTCTGTCTTCCTTCCTTCCTTCCTTCCTTTTCCTTCCTTCCTTTTTCATTTTCCCCTCCCTTTTCTCTCCCTCCCTCCCTCCCTCTTTCTTTCTCTATCTGTCTGTCTTTCTTTCTTTTTCTCTCTTTCTCCTTCCTTTTCTCTCCTTCCTTCCTCTCTTCCTCCTTTCCATCCTTACTTCCCTTTTCATCTTTCCCCTCCCTTCTCTCTCCCTCCCTTATTTTTCTTTCTTTTTTCTCCCTTTCTCCTTCCTTCCTTTTCCCTTCTTCCTATTCCTTTCCTTCCTTCCTTTTTCATCTTTCCCCTCCCTTCTCTCCCTCCCTCCCTCTATCTTTTTCTTTCTTTCTTTCTTTCTTTCTTTCTTTCTTTCTTTCTTTCTTTCTTTCTTTCTTTCTTTCTTTCTTTCCTTCCTTCCTTCCTTTTCTTTCTCCTTCCTTCCTTCCTTTTTCATCTTTCCTGTCCCTTCTCTTTCTCTCTCCCTCCCTCCCTTCTTTCTTTCTTTCTCTCGCTCTCTCTCTCCCTTCCTTCCTTCCTTCCTTCCTTCCCTACAGGTCACAGCCTGGCCGGATACGTCCTCTCCACCTATACCTACAGCAGCTGGAAAGGGAGAAATCTCTACATTGACAATTTTACGTCATGCCAGAATTCAGAGGTGAGATTGCAGTTGGGTTCACCTTCCCTGCCAAGCCGCAGGTAATCCTGATTTCCCAAGGAAGCCACCTTGGGCTGCATTCACACGGCCTACTCCTCCGGAAACCATGGTTTAAAACTCCTGGGTTGGTTCACACAACTCTCTTCTTTTCCAGGGATGCGGATTGGGAACTCCCTGCTGAAGGAGGCAGCCAAGGTGAGACCCCCCCCCCGTCTTCTGGCCCCGTCTGGGGATCCCGCAAGGACCTCCCACTGCGCCCACTTTCATGATTTCTCTCTTTATTTTTACATTATTTTTACAAATTGCCCAAGGTGGCAAACACACCTGCCTCCTCCTACTTTCCCCACAACAACCAACCCTGCGAGGTAGGCTTTGCTGGGAGGGAACGAGTGGCCCAAAGTCACTCAGCCGGCTTTCACACTTAAAGCAGGACTAGAACTCACCATCCTCTGGTAATTAGCCTGCAGTCACCCAGCTGCTTTTCATTTATTTATTCATTTATTTATTTATTAGTCATATTTCTATGCTGCCCACTCTCCGAGGACTCTGGGCGGCTTGCACCAAAGACCGTATACTAAATAGCATATTGCTCCCAACAATCTGGGTCCTCATTTTACCCACCTCGGAAGGATGGAAGGCTGAGTCAACTTTGAGCCGGTGAGATTTGATCCGCTGATCTGCTGAACTAGCAGTCAGCTGAAGTAGCTGCAGTACTGCACCCTAACCACTGCGCCACCTCGGCTCTTTTTCATGCCTAAGGCGGGACTAGAACTCCCAGTCTCCTAGTGATTGGCCCAAAGTCACCCAGCCGGCTTCCATGCCTAAGACGGGACTAGAACTCCCAGTCTCCTAGTGATTGGCCCAAAGTCACCCAGCTGGCTTCCATGCCTAAGGTGGAACTAGAACTCCCAGTCTCCTAGTGATTGGCCCAAAGTCACCCAGCTGGCTTTCATGCCTAAAGTGGAACTAGAACTCCCAGTCTCCTAGTGATTGGCCCAAAGTCACCCAGCCGGCTTTCATACCTAAGGCGGGACTAGAACTCCCAGTCTCCTAGTGATTGGCCTAAAGTCACCCAGCCGGCTTCCATGCCTAAGACGGGACTAGAACTCCCAGTCTCCTAGTGATTGGCCCAAAGTCACCCAGCCGGCTTTCATGCCTAAAGCGGGACTAGAACTCCCAGTCTCCTAGTGATTGGCCCAAAGTCACCCAGCCGGCTTTCATGCCTAAAGCGGGACTAGAACTCCCAGTCTCCTAGTGATTGGCCCAAAGTCACCCAGCCAGCTTTCATGCCTAAGGCAGAACTAGAATTCCCAGTCTCCTAGTGATTGGCCCAAAGTCACCCAGCCGACTTTCATACCTAAGGCGGGACTAGAATTCACCGTCTCCTAGTGATTGGCCCAAAGTCGCCCAGCCGGCTTCCATGCCTAAAGCTGAACTAGAATTCCCAGTCTCCCAATTTCTAGCCTGCTGCCTTAAAAACCTCTAGACCAAAATTTGCCCACTTAAGGCGGAAGAGGTCGCTCAAGGGAGGCCAACATCTCCTCTGTCCCGGTTATCCCCGATGTCCAGATGGGGCAATCCAGGTGGGGATGCTGACCCTTTGCCAATGGCTTTTTTCTCTCCCCCCCTCCCCTCCCCACATTCCAGGCCGCCTGGCAAGAGGGCTGCTCCGAGCTCCGCATGCACGTTTCCTACCTGAAGCCCGAAAACACAACTTACCTGGAGAGGCGTGGAGGCGAGAACCTCACCGTCCAAGATGGCTGGAATCTGTTTCGGATTTACGGCGACCGGCTCGGCCAAATGGCGGATCGGAGCCGGGTCTAGCCTCAAACGGGGGGGGGGCGAGAAGACATGGGATTGAGCCCCCCCTCTCCCAGCCCACCAGACCCCACTGGCTAGGCTGGCCTCGCGCCCGGTCCAGGTCGACCTAAGGGAGAGTGTGTGTTCCTGAGCATGTCTCAAGTGCCCTGAGCGATTGGGAAGTGGAGGATGGGAAGCGGCCGGGAAGCATGGATGCCGGGACCGTTTTTTTTGACCCGCACGAGGGTCGAAAGGTCCATACAAAAAAATAGTTAAACTTTTGCAAAAGTTTTCTCGTGGCCTTTATTCTGTAACTAATTTGGCACCATCTTTTCTTTTTAATATTTAACCGGATTCTCGATGTGACTTTGAACCTGGCTGCTTCCGTCCTTCTGGGGCAGTGGGCCCCGAATTCCAGCACCCCTCTGGTTTCCCCACACACCCCACAAGACCACTTTAGGGGGGGCTGTTCACCCAACGGGAGGGGGAAACGGGGGGTGGGCATGCAAAGGGCTGAATCTTCAGACGCCAAAATCAGGATTTTCTCCAAAAGTTTCCCTTTTAGGCAACCTGAAAATCTTTAAAGACCCCCCCCAAAAAATCCTTATTTCCCCCCCCTCCTCAATTCCGACACCTTTCTTAACTCCAAACTCCTGACCATTTGGGGAAAAACGGAAATGAGAGTCCACAAGCGGGAAGGAATTAGGTTCCTTGAGGCTTCTACAGGTAGTCCTCGACTTACGACAGTTCGTTTAGTGACCGTTCAAAGTGACAACGGCGCTGGAAAAAAGGGACTTCAAAGTGACCGTTTTTCCCACTTAACGACCGTTGCAGCCTCCCCGTGATCCAACTTCGTCGGCTTGGCAACTGGCATGTACTTATGCCTATTGCAGCGTCCCGTGATCCCGTTTTGCGAGAAGGTCTTAAAATCGATGGGGGGGAGGGCGGATTTGCTTAACAACCAGGTTACTCACTTATCAACCACAGTGAATGACGGTGGCAAGAAAAGTTGTAAAATAGGGCAAAGCTCACTTAACAACGGTCTCGCTTAGCGAGAGAAATTTTGGGCTCCATTGGGGTCGTATGTTGAGGACTATCTCTCTATACCTGGAGAAGAGCAGGAAGTTACTTACGAGTCCCCGAAGGAAGGATTCGCACTCTACACTTTAAACCCCTTAAATTAAGAAAAATCGTTTTTAAAAAAAATAAAATAAAATGAGGGTTTAATTTTCACAAAGGTAAAGCAGAATCGGTTAAATCCTCATTGGCTGCCTGTGGCGTGTGCACAGGGTGATGGGAATTGTAGTCTCACCCTTCTGGAACGCCCAAGACTGGGAGGAGGGAATTTAGGGGGAGACCAGGAGGAAATTCAGGGTGACAGAAACCCTAATTACGTCTCTCCACAACCTTCTTCCAACGAGAGCAAAATTCCCAAGGAGTCATTCTTCCAATCCACAACTCAAAAGTAGCAAGACTTTGAGGGAAACCTTTCGTGGGGGGAGACAGGGTCTTCCACCCATCTTGGACTCCAACTCCTATGAGCCTCAGCCCCCCTTCCGGTGGGGAGAAATGGGAGTTCCAGTCCAACCCATTCAAAGAACGCAACGTTGGAGGAGCTGCTGTTCCGGATGGAGACGGTTGAAGGCATCTCCACCAGCTTCTGGGTCGCCTTCTCCGGCTGGCCGGGGGAGGGTCTACCTTCCTGATGGGAGGGTCTCCTCAGGGGAAGGGCTTCTCCGGGGGCAGGTGGAGGCTGGCGTCCAGGAAGATGATGAGGGTGCCAATGGTGGTGAAGACGATGAAAGTCCAGAAGAAGAGACGGTCCACCACGAAGGCCACGTACTCCCAGTCTTCCTTCATCTGCAGAGGTTGGGAGAGAGGAGAGAGGTCCATGGATCGGGGTGGGGTGGGGGCTTGGAAAGGCCCGTTCCGCCACCTGTGCGACCCTGAGGGAGGGAGGAGGCTGGGGGGGCCCCATTGTCCCCTTGTGCTGTCCACCTGGGGCCCTTCCAGTTGGAGGATCTACCTACCTACACCCTTCTTTGGGAGACAAAGTTCTCACAAGCCATCGCTTGATGGTTTGGAGGGGGTGGGGTGGGCAAGCGGCCTGGGGGGTGTGACGGGGGAAAAGATCCACCCCGTCCATGAAAAGGGTTAGGGCTTTTTTTGGGGGGGTGGACATCTTGAGCTTTGGGACCCACAGAAGATCTGGGAACTGATTGCTCCTTCCCTCCCTCCCTCTTTCTTTTATTTTCCTTCCTTCTTTCTCCCTCCCTCTCTTCCTTCCATTTTCCTCCCTCCCTCTCTTTATTTTATTTTCCTTCCTTCCTTCATTCTTTCTCCCTCCCTCTCTTGCCTTCCATTTTCTTCCCTCCCTCCCTTTTATTTTCCTTCCTTCTCCCTCCCATCTCTTCCCTCTTCCTCTCCCTCTTCCTTCCATTTCCCTCCCTCCCTCTCTTTCTTTTATTTTCCTTCCTTCCTTCATTCTTTCTCCCTTCCTCCCTCTCTTCCTTCCATTTTCTTCCCTCCCTCCCTTCCTTTTATTTTCCTTCCTTCTCCCTCCCATCTCTTACTTCCTTTTATTTTTCCTTCCTTCCTTGCTTGCTTCTGTCTCCCCTTCCTCCCTCCCTTTCTTCCTTTTATTTTCCTTCCTTCTCCCTCCCATCTCCTCCCTCTCTTCCTCCCTCCCTTCCTCCCTTTCCTTCCCTCTCCCATCTCCTCTCTCCTTCCCTTTCTTCCTTTCCTTCCTTCTCCCTCCCATCTCCTCCCTCTCTTCCTCCCCCCTCTCTCCCTTCCTTCCTTCCTTCCCTCTCCCATCTCCTCTCTCCTTCCCTTTCTTCCTTTTATTTTCCTTCCTTCTCCCTCCCATCTCCTCCCTCTCTTCCTCCCTCCCTTCCTTCTTTCCTTCCTTTCTTCTCCCTCCCATCTCCTCCTTCTCTTCCTCCCTCCCTTCCTCCCTTTCCTTCCCTCTCCCATCTCCTCTCTCCTTCCCTTTCTTCCTTTCCTTCCTTCTCCCTCCCATCTCCTCCCTCTCTTCCTCCCCCTCTCTCTCTCCCTTCCTTCCTTCCTTCCCTCTCCCATCTCCTCTCTCCTTCCCTTTCTTCCTTTTATTTTCCTTCCTTCTCCCTCCCATCTCCTCCCTCTCTTCCTCCCTCCCTCCCTCCCTTCCTTCTTTCCTTCCTTTCTTCCCTCTCCCATCTCCTCACTCTCTTTCTTCCTTTTATTTCCCTCCCTCCAGAGGTGGGTTTCAGCAGGTTCTGGCCAGTTCTGGCGAACCGGTAGCAGAAATTTTGAGTAGTTTGGAGAACCGGGAGTAAAAATTCTGACTGGCCCCACCCCCATCTCTTCTCTGCCTCCCGAGTCCCAGCTGATCGGGAGGAAATGGGGATTTGGCAGTAACCTTCCCCTGCCACGCCCACCAAGCCACGCCCACCAAGCCACACCCACAGAACCGGTAGTAAAAATTCTGACTGGCCCCGCCCCATCTCTTCTCTGCCTCCCAAGTCTCAGCTGAAATGGGGATTTGGCAGTATCCTTCCCCTGAAGCGGGGTGGGAATGGGGATTTGGCAGTATCCCTCCCCTGCCACGCCCACCAAGCCACGCCCACCGAACCCGTGGTAGAACAATGTGAATCCCTCCCCAACTGACGGCATCGTAGTCTTCCTGCTCCTGCAGCTGCTGGGCCACGTAGAGGACGGCGTCCAGGGCGGACTTGAGGTCCGGCGGGAGGGCCAGGCAGTGGCTGGGGCCATCGATGAACCTCCTCATGTCCGTGGAGAAGGCCTCCAGCTGGAACCTGGGAAGGGAGGAGAAGACCCAGGGAGGAGGGACCTCTGCCCATTGACCGGCCCCAGACTTTGGCCAGGGGGGGGGAGGGGGGCTCTTCCTCCAAAAGTTTTAAATGCATGGACTTCGACTCCCAGAATCCCCTGCCTGGGCCTGAGGGGATCCACTTAGACTAGGTTTCCTTTGCGCCCCAAGGGAAAGATTCTCAGGATCCAGGCCAGGTTTGTTTCATTCCCAACGATCCAGTGCAGAATCTGTGATCCTTTTCTGCAAAGTTCCCTTCCCAAGACCACCAAGGGGCCCTTTGAAGACGGGCTGGAAGTAGGGCCCCCTTTTCATGCTAGCACATCTTCCGCTTTGGGAAATATCCCAAAATTATGTCTCCTTCTCTCTCTCTCCCCCCCTCCCTCTTTCCCACTCTCCCTTCTCCCTTCCCTCTCCCTCCTTCTTCTCTCTCATTTCCTCCTCCTTCTCCTTTCTTTCCTCCCTTCCTTCCTCTCTCTCCTTCTGTCTCTCTCCCCCTCCCTTTTTCCCACTCTCCCTTCCCCCTTTTCTTTCCCTCCTCCTTCTCTCTCATTTCCTCCTCCTCCTTTCCTTCCTCCCTATTTCCTTTCCTCCCTCCCTTCCTCTCTCCCCTTCTCTCTCTCTCATTTCCTCCTCCTCCTTTCCTTCCTCCCTATTTCCTTTCCTCCCTTCCTTCCTCTCTCTCTCTCTCCCTCCCCCTTTCCCACTCTCCCCCTTCCCTCTCCCTCCTTCTTCTCTCTCATTTCCTCCTCCTCCTTTCCTTCTCCATTCTTCCATTCTCCATTCCTTCTTCCCTCCCTCCCTGTTCCTCCCTTCCTCCTTTATCCTATCCCTCCCTCCCTATTTCCTTTCCTCCCTTCCTCTCTCTCTCCTTTCCTCCCTCTTCCTTTCCTCCTTTCCTTCCTCTCTCTCCCTCCTTTGCTGTTTCCTTCCCTCTCTCCCTCTCCCTCCCTCCTTTTCCCTCCCTCCTTCTCTCTCTCCCTCCTTCTCTGCTCCCTCTCTCCCCGCCTCTCTCCTTCCCTCCTCTCCTTTCCTTTTACCTCCCTCTCTTCGTCCTTCCCTCCCTCCTTCCTTCCCTCCCTCTGCATTCCTTTCCTCCTTTCCTTCCTCTCTCTCTCCCTCCTTCGTTGTTTCCTTCCCTCTCTCCCTCCCTCTCCTTTTCCCTCCCTCCCTCCTTCCCTCTCTCCCTCCTTCTCTGCTCCCTCCCCTCCCTCCCTCTCTCCTTCCCTCCTCTCCTTTCACCTCCCTTTCTTCCTCCTTCCCTCCCTCTACATTCCTTTCCTCCTTTCCTTCCTCTCTCTCTCCCTCCTTTGTTGTTTCCTTCCCTCTCTCTCTCCCTCTCTCCTTCTCTGCTCCCTCTCTCCTCACCTCTCTCCTTCCCTCCTCTCCTTTCACCTCCCTCTCTTCCTCCCTCCTTCCTTCCCTCCCTCCCTCTGCATTCCTTTCCTGCCCTAAAGCCCCCCCCCCGGTTTCTACCTGTTGGGCTTGGAGAAGTCGCAGGTGGGGGTCCGGATGAAATACTCGTTGGCGTAGCGGCTGCTCTTCACCAAGGTCTCCTTGGGGGGCAGAGGGGGGGCCTGGAGGGGCTGCTCCGGCTTCGGACGCTGCAGGCACAGATACCGAGGGATCCTGTGGATGAAGACCTAGGGAAAGAAGAAGGAAGGAAGAGAATATTCCTCCCTTTCTCCTCCTCTTTTGAACCCGACTGACCGCCTGACTTTTCCACCCAGAAAGCAGAGCTTTAAAATAACACAATTTAAACAGTGCAAAAATAAATAAATGTTAATCTAAACTAAAAAAACAAAACAAAAAGTGGGATAAATGGGCTGACATTGGTCAGAAATGGCGTAGAGTTTCCTGCTTTGGGCGGCGGGTGGGGGTTGGACTAGATGACCTCCAAGGTCCCTTCCGTTCTTCTGCTCCTTCCAACCCAAGATTCTCACTGGTGTCAACTCGCAAAGCTTCCCTGGCCTGCTCTCGAGTTGCCATAGGCCAAGGGAGATGGGAAACTGACGAAGCAGCGGGGCAGCCAAAGACAGGAGCGCATTCCAGGCGTATCTCTCTCAAGGCTGTCTCCCAGGGTTACCCACAGTGGCCGGAGGGGAGTGATCTCTACAACCCAGGCTCCCGTTGGCGAATGTGATTGATGACACACCCTGGGGGGAGGTGGGAAACAGGGTCATGATTGGGGCGTAAATTACCTGGGGTCAGAGTTGGCTTCACTTGGGAATGTGCGGACATGAAGGTCCTAATAAATAACTGGATTTCTTTTGAAGCTTGGCTTGAGGCTCATGATTTAATTAGGGCATCCTTCGGGACCCTGACAACTCGCAGGACAGTCCTGGCCCAGGCTTAGCACCCGGACTCCCAGGACCTCCTGATCCTACTCACGGGTCAGATCTCCCCCTTTGGATGCAGGACGAGGGATCGATGGAGGAGGAGCGGCTCTCTGGCTTTCCTAGGAGGCTCACATCACACTGGATCCCACCAGAGACTAAATCCATAGATCGACCCCCTCGGTTGAAACCCCGCATTGATGGCCGGAGGGTCATACGGGCAGTAGAGACAATAATTCTTAAACTACTGATAGAAGAGAATATTTGTAGATTGGGGTTCGTTTGTGGGGTCCTGGGTGCTCTCTGAGCTTGGGAGTATTCTGGAAGACGTTTCATGACCCAACTAGGGAACATTATCAGTGCTAGAAGGGAGGGGAGTTTGTGGAGAGAAGGAAGGAGAAGGGCAGGAGGAGGAGGAGAAGGAAGAAAGGAGCAGGAGAAGAAGGGATGGAGAAGTAGAAGGATGAAACTGGCCTGGCCTAAATTTTCCTCTTTTAAATGGGAATTTTAAATTTGGTTTTAAATTATTGGGGTTTTAAAATGGTTCAGCCAAATTTATTTAATTTGTTTTATCTCTATTTTAAATTTTGTATCTATATGTTTTATTTTATGGCTGTTCACCGCCCTGAGTCCTTCAGGAGTAGGGCGGTATACAAATTTAATTAATAAAGAAATAAGAAATAAGAAATAAGAAAGGAGCAGGAGAAGAAGGGATGGAGAAGTAGAAGGATGAAGAGGAGGAGGAGGAAGAAAGGAGCAGGAGAAGAAGGGATGGAGAAGTAGAAGGATGAAGAGGAGGAGGAGGAGGAGGAGAAGGAAGAAAGGAGCAGGGAAGAAGGGATGGAGAAGTAGAAGGATGAAGAGGAGGAGGAGGAGGGCCGTGGGGGCGATGTCTGAGCTGTGTTTTTTCTTGTGGGCGTTTTCTCATCCAACCAAGTGACATCATCAGGGCTCGATGATCCTTGTCCCACTGAGGATGTTCCCTGGCTGGGTCACGAAAGGACTTCCGGTCAACCGCCCGGCTCAGGAGGCCCGAGGAAGGAGGAGCCCCCGGCCCGCTTTACCTGCCTGACCCAGAAGGGCATCTTGTAGGAGCTGGGCGAGCGATGGTGGATGTTCAAGACGACCACGCTGAAGATGACGGAGAAGGTGACCAGGATCATGGTGAACATCAGGTACTTGATGATGATGGGCACCGCCAGGGACGTCTCGGGGACCTTTTTGGCCAGCAGCAGCAGGAAGACGGTGAGGGTGAGGAGGGCGAAGATGGAGAGGGTCATCTTCTCGCCTGGGTCGAGGAGAAAGAGAGGTTGGGCTTCGGGCCAAGGAAGAGGCAGCTCAGCCTGCAACATCCACAGCAGGAGGAGGGTCAGGCAGGGGGGGAAAAATAGGGTTTGCACTGAAATTCCCCAGAAAGGAGAACCCGCTTCAAATGGCAGGAACCTCCCTATGAAATTGGAATGGAATGGAAAGGAAACAAGAGGGATGGGGAGGGGAGGCGAGGCGAGGGAGGAAAGGAGAGGGGAGGAGAGGGGAGGGGAGGGGAGGAGAGGAGAGGGGAGGAAAGGGGAGGGAAGGAAAGGGAAGGGAAGGGAAGGAGAAGGGAAGAAAGGAGAGGAAAGGAAAAGAAAAGAAAGGAGGGGAGAGGGGAGGGGAGTGAAGGGAAGGGAAGGGAAGGGAAGGGGAGGAAAGGAAAGGAGAGGGGAGGGGAGGGGAGGAAAGGAGAGAGGAGGAAAGGAGAGGAAAGGAAAAGAAAAGAAAGGAGAGGAGAGGAAAGGGGAGGGGAGCGAAGGGAAGGGAAGGGGAGGGGAGGAGAGGAGAGGAAAGGAAAGGAGAGGGGAGGGAACGGAAGTAGAGGGGACAGGAGGGAAGGGGAGTGGAGGGAAGGGAAGGGAAGGCGGAAGAGGAGCGGAATGGAGCGGAGTGGAACAGAACAGAATAATGCAGAATGCAGAACACAGAACATATATAGAATATAGAATAGGGGATGCTCCATCTCTTCCTTCTTAGACACCCCCCCCCTTTAAAAGGAGGAGCTCTACCTAAGGGATCCTTGGAGGAGGCCCCCCCCCGGGGAAAATGAGAAGCTGGAGAGGAATTAAGGCGAGGGGGACTTTGTGAAGAGGGGACGGAGCCAATTTTGCTAACTGTTTCAAATGTGTCCTAATATTCTATGTCCCCCCCCCGCCCCCAAACCCCAAACATCGCTTTCTACTGCTGGGGCCTCCACAGCCTCTCCACTGTTGGGGAAGAGGTTCCCGGCTGTAGAAAGTGGAGGTTGGGGGTTGGGGGTACCCGGTGGAAACGATCTTGTGCCGTTTCAAGCGGATGAGCACAAAGGGAAGATGGGCCCCGTACAGAATGGGCCAACTCGCCGCAGCCATCTTGCTGCAGCCAACTCACCACCAGGCCAACTTGCCCTAGGACAATTCAACAATTCAACTTATTTACAACAACCTTTTCATTTCTGTCATTCACATTTCATTTTCTCCTTCCTTTTTTGAATGATTCTATTTCGCCATTTCTTCGAGATTAGCGTCCTTCTTGTCCTGTGGCGAGTTGTCCTAGACCGAACACCACCACCCCTTGGTCTGCCACGAAAGAACACGAAGCCACTCATGTTTAGCTCACCAGCGTCCGGCGGGAGGTAAAACACGAAGATGGCCAGGATCGTAATCAAGATACAAGGGAAGATGACATTGATGAGGTAGAAGAGTGGTTTACGGCGGATGATGAGGTAGAAAGTGATGTCCTCGTAGAACGGATCTTTTGGATTAGTGTTCTTGCGGGAGGGCTTGTGCTTGAACTCCCACTGCCCGTTGTCTGGGGAAAGAAAGGAGGGAGGACCTCTGAAAGAAAGGGTTAGGGCAGGGGTCAGCAACCCGTGGCTCTGGAGCCGCATGTGGCTCTTTCATCCCTCTGCTGCGGCTCCCTGTTGCTGGTCGGCTCCACAATTGATAGGGCTTTCGGTTAGGACAGGTAGAGGAAAAAGGATACCACACTAGGAGGAGACTCTATGGTGGGGAAACTGACTTCCAGTCGGCTCCAGAATTGAACGGGGGCTTCCGGTTAGGACCTTTGTGACTTTGAGTGTTTAACGTTGCTGACCCCTGGGTTAGGGTCTCCTCCAGTGGGGCCGGGAGGTTCCCTTCCCGCCCTCTTGTTCTTTGAGCAGAATGAGGAAGGGCCCAGAAAGATGGAGTTGGACAAAGCCGGGGAGTTCCGGAGAGGACGGTGCGCACAAGAGGGGGGATTTTGTGGATCAATTCTGGGTTCCGTTGTCCGGAGATAGAAGGCCGCCCTGCTCCAGATCCCTTTGAGGTTGGCCTTAAAACAGAGTTCCCCAAACTTTCCGGGTTGGCGGCCCAGAGTGGGGGGAATGGAGGAAAGAGGGGATGATATTGTGGAAGGGACAAGCGCCTGTGTATACCTGTGCGTGCGCACAAGCGTATGCAACATTTGCTTGCGAGAGTGGGGCCATATACACGTGTATGTGAAGGACGTGTGACCTGGGGGCAAGGACCCCCTGTTTGGGTGGGGAAAACCGCGGGCCATTCAGAGTCGGGTTAGTGTCAGGGTTCCAAGTAACAGACCCAACGCAATCCAAACTCTGGAGTTTCCTCAAAGTATGGATCTATTAGGAAAGTCATATTGGCACAGCTGGTGAAAACCCGACTCTGAAGGCCCCGAGGTTTTCCCCACCCAAACCAAATCCCAAAGTCCTTGCCCCCAGGTCACACGCCCGTCACACGGTCCAATCAGATCACAGTCCCAATTCAGTTGGATTCAGTCCATGCCTTCCCAGCACCTAACGAGAATGACCTTGGTTCTCAGGGAAAAGAATTTTATTTTGGCTATGGGTCCCCAGCTATCTCTACCTCCCCACTCCCATTCCCACAGCTTCAGCCAGTCTGGCTGTGGCAGCCCTGAAGACGCTCCAATATGGCTTCCGGGCTGACAGCAACATTGTATGAATTGGAAACGGAAGACGGGGTTCCCGTGAAATCCTTCCTTGGTTAGCTGAATGAAGCTGGTGTGCGAGTTTCGCGCGACCTCAATTTTGATCACGTACTTGGGTTCGCATAGGGAACGGGCAAGCATCACCCTATCGCAGGCACAAATCGGGCGACTTTTCCTCACCGATAAATGTGTTTTCGTATATCAGGATCTCCTTCACCTCCTGCCCTTTCTCGTTGACGGGGTGCAGGAGGGTGATTTCCGAGGCATCGTACGTCTTCGAGCGGAAGACCATCGTGCAGTTTTGCCAATCGAACGGGAAATAGGTCACCTGCAATCGCACAAAAACACAAGTGGGAGAACCGAGGGAGCATCTGCCGCCTTGGCGTAGGCCGGGAACAATGTCCTCCTTTATGAAGCAGTCCTCGACTTACAGCCACGATTGGGAGCACAATTTTCATTGCTAAGCAAGGAGGTCGTTAAAGAGCCATGGTGGCGCAGTGGTTGGAATGCAATACAGGCAGTTCTCGACTTACAACAGCTCACTTAGTGACCCTTTGAAGTTGCAACAGTGCTGGAAAAAAGTGACTTATGACCATTTTCCACCCTTATGACCGTTATAGCGTCCTCATGGTCAGGTGAATAAAATGTAGACTTTTGGCAACGGACTTGTATTTATGATGGTCACAGCATCCCAGGGTTGCATGCTCCCCTTTTACGACCTCCTAACGAGCAATGGGGAAGGTGGATTCGCTTAACAGCCGTATGATGAACTTAACAACAGCAGGGATTCACTTAACAACTATGGCAAGGAAGGTCATTAAATGAGCCAAAACTCACTTAAGATCTGTCTCGCTTAGCGATGGAAATTTTGGGCTCAACTACAGTTGCATGAACTACAAAGCCCATCATGCGGAGGGAGCGGAGTCGAACCTGGATGCTGCAGCTGCTCCGATAAAGGGCAGGGGGCTGCCACTGGACCCTCCCGTTGTGGTGCACAAGGACGTTTATGCTGAGAGCAATGTCAAAGACGCCATCGTTGCTGGATGGAAAAAGAGACGAGAGAGACGCCGTTGCTGGCGGCCGAGAAAAGGGAAACCAGCCCTCCCTTCGACGGGAAAATGAGACACTCAAAAATCTCAGCCGGAGGGTTGCAGCTGGTTTTAGACTGAAGTTTAGCCTTACGGGGGTAGAGGGACATCCCCCGCCCCAAGTGGGCAGCTCAAGATGAAAATAAATTTAATTAATTTAATTCAGCTCAACTGGAAAAATCCAGAGGGTCCACCTATTCTCCAAAGCAGCTGAGGGTAAAACAAGAAGCAACCGATGGAAACTAACCAAGGAGAGAAGCAACCTAGAAATAAGGGGAAATTTCCTGACAGTGAGGACAATTAACCAGTGGAACTCCTTGACTCCAGAAGTTGCGGAGGTTTTTAAGACAAGATTAGACAGCCATTTGTCTGAAATGGTATAAGGTCTCCTGCTTCAGCAGGAGGTTGGACTAGAAGATCTCCAAGATCCCTTCCACCCCTATTCTGAGAGATTGAGAGGCTCCTGTTAGCTCCAACACCCTATCCTACCCCAACAGTTATTGACAAGGCCAGCATCAAGATTCTAGTCCTCATGAAGGCTCACTTGTTCATTAGAACGATATCCGGGAGCCACACTTCGCCTGCACCGAGTCGGATGGACGTGATTCCTTCGAATTCGGCTGGATTCCAGGTGAGCCGATAGTCGATCCACTCCTGAGGGAGAAAGGAAAGTCGGGTGAGGAAGAGGATGGAAGACTCAAGTAGGAAAAAAAGGGAAAAATTATAGACCAGCCAGAAAGTTAATGAATTATAATTAGGCAGTCCTTGATTTACAACAGATCGTTTAGTGACTGTTCAAAGTTACAAAAAGGGGCTTTATGACCATTTTTCACACTTACGACCATCGCTGCATCGCCATGGTCACGTGATCAAAATTCAGACGCTCGGCATGTAGTTATGACTGTTGCAGCGTCCCGGGATCACGTGATCTGCTTTCGCGACCTTCTGACCAGCAGATTTGCTTAATGACTGTGTGACTCACTTAACAACAGCAATGATTCACTTAACAATGTTTTGCAAGAAAGGTTGTAAAATAGGGCAAAACTTACTTAAGGACTGCTTTGCATAGCAAGAGGAATTTTGGGCTCAAATGTGGTTGTAAGTTGAGTACTACATGTCTATGGCACAGCGTAAGACTCAAGAAGGAGATACTGGGCAGAAATTGGAGACCGACTGAGTTTTTCTGGATGTCTTCAATTTTTGGCGACCCAGATGGAGCCACATGGATGGGCTGAGCTGCCTGGAAGCTCTGCGCTTCGTGGCTGTTATAGGCAACATCCCTCTTGCTAGAGGCCCAGACACTCCCCACCCAACAGTCTCTAAACAGGTGTCCTCGAACCCGTGTCTCTCTCTTCCTCTCCCCCCCCCTCAAATAGCTGCTCTCTCTTCTACTCCAGCCTCAAATTTCTCCACCTGTTTGGCCTTCCGCGAACAAGAAAGTTCGAAAAAACCGTCCCTGCTTTTCTAATGCAGAAGGGTCCACAGAGGGCAAAAAAGTCAAGATGGCAGTCTGTGTTTTTGTTCGGTTTTGTTAAACTCACCTGGTCCAAGTAGCCCTTTGTGGTCAGTTCTTCATCCTTTTCATTCTGAAAAAAAAAAGTGTGCATTTGTGTGCTTTCCGAAGCCTCCGTATTGCTGGGAGTTTCAACACTCGGGGAAAAAAAAGGGGGGGAATACCCTCCCAGAAAGAGCCAGTGTCTGAGGGAGGGGCTGCCCCCCCTGTGGTGGATGGGTTCATGCTAATGCTGGACCCTAGGCCTTCGTTTGGACTCCAGCACTGAAAGGGGGGTTGACTAGATGACCTTGGAGACCCCTTCCAAGGTTCTAGAATCCTCAGCTAGCCCAGTCCTGGAAAGGAGCCCATGCTTGGCTAAGGGAAGGAGATTTCTATGTGGGGGGGGAGGCTCTCCCCCCAAGGAAATGCTTTTATTCGCTCTTTAAACCCTTCGGCTTTGAAATATGCATGATTTAATTCTTCCAGCAGACGGTTATATTGCGATGATTCGAAAAGGAGGCATTTCCCCCCCCCCCATTTGCTGCCTCGCCTGGTTTCTTAGAAAAAAAGGAGATCAGGCCAGGATTCGGCACAAACCGCCATTGCTAAATTGCCAGACCTGCCATAGCTCGAACCTCTGAACAGGACCCATCCTAAGTTGGCTCCGTTTACTGAGAAAGGTGTAGTTTTGTTAGAGGTCAAGGGTATCGCAGTGGTGCAAAGCCAGGACTGAGAATCGCACGCCCAAATCCCCAAGTTCCACTTTACCCTCCCTTAACTGCCCCTCCATGGCTCACCCTGGGGGTGAAATCCAGCAGATTCTAACCGGTTGTGGAGAACCGGTAGCGGAAATTTTGAATAGTTTGGAGAACCGGCAAATACCACCTCTAGCTGGCCCCAGAGTGGGGTGGGAATGGAGATTTTGCAATATCCTTACCCCAGGAATGGGGAGGGAATGGAGATTTCACAGTATCCTTCCCCTGCCACGCCCACCAAGCCACGCCTACCAAGCCACACCACACCCACAGAACCCACCACTGGCTCACCCCCCATCCCCCGCCCCATGACCAATCAGGTCCGGACGAGATGTTTTCATAATGGTCAGTCCAAGCTTGGTCTGGTAAGTGGCTCCATTCCTTCTTCCAGCTGGGTGACCTTGAGGCAGCTTCATACAGCCACTACTTTCGGTTTCCCCCAAGCATCCCCCTTCCCTAGAGTTCACGGCAGAGTGTGACTGCAAGGTAGTGAAGCACAAGTAGCTCACATAAGTGGCTTGGACATTCCCTCCCCTCCCCTCCCCCCTCCTCTCTCCACCCCTCCCCTCCTATCCCTCATCCTACTTATCTTCCTTTATCTTACAGCAATTTATTTATAACCAACCTATATTACTTTTTTGTAAATAACTCCAGGTGGTAAAAATATTTAATACTGCTGCCTCCTCCTGGTGATTGGCCCAAAGTCACCCAATCAGCTTTCATGCCTAAGGTGGGACTAGAACTCCTCAACACCTGGTGATTGGCCCAAACTCACTCAGATGGCTTTCATGCCTAAGGTGAAACTAGAACTCACCATCTCCCAGTGATTGGCCCAAAATTACCCAACTGGCTTTCATGCCTAAGGCGGGACTAGAACTCACCATCTCCTGGTGATTAGCCCAAAGTCACCTAGTCAGCTTTCATACCTAAGGTGGGACTAGAACTCCTCAACACCTGGTGATTGGCCCAAACTCACTCAGATGGCTTTCATGCCTAAGGTGAAACTAGAACTTACCATCTCCCAGTGATTGGCCCAAAATTACCCAACTGGCTTTCATGCCTAAGGCAGGACTAGAACTCACTATCTCCTGGTGATTGGCCCAAAGTCACCCAGCCAGCTTTCATGCCTAAGGCGGGACTAGAACTCCTCAACACCTGGTGATTGGCCCAAACTCACTCAAATGGCTTTCATGCCTAAGGCAGGACTAGAACTCACTCTCTCCTGGTAATTGGCCCAAAATGAGACTAGAACTCACTATCTCCTGGTTTTTAGCTTGGTTCTTCAATCAAGACCACATCTTCATCCTCCCACGATGAGAAAGTGAGGCTGGCCGGCCGATCCAGTAAATGGACACAGAGATGCTTGGAAGTAGATCACGGCCCCCCTCCCCAAAATTAGGGGCCGGGGGCCGGCTCAACCGGTCCCCTGCCCTGTCCCATCCCGAGACCAGTGGGGAAGGCCTTCTTTCAGCCCCACAGGGACTGAACACCCCAATTCCCCCCAGGCGCCAGGAGACACCAGTTCCAGGCAGGACAGGCAGTGGACGATGAGTTATTAATAGCTGCCTTCTCAGCTGTTGCCGCTTCCGCCGGCCTCTTGCACACTTGGTACCAAGCGTGCAAAACTCCCAGGGGATTGGGAGGGGGGGGCAAGGACAGCTCGCACAGCCGCTGCCCAAAATAAATCTTGCAGATTTTGGGGGGAGGCTCGGTCTGTGACTCGCACCCCAAGGGGGGACAAAGAAGCCTGTCTGTGCCCACTCAGATACTCAGGAGGGAGACCGGCAGAACTCCATGCCCCATCGTCCCCAGTCGTTCGCCATTGGCGGCCTTTGGACTTATGGGGTGGGAGGGAGCCAGGGGTCCTCCAGAGGCGGCTGAATCCAAGAACCAATGGTCCCGAGTGGTGTAGTACGGTCTCCTGCTTGGAAAAGGGGGATGGACTAGAGGATCTCTAAGGTCCCTTTATCCTATATCTTGTATTCCCGGAGCCCAGCGGAAGGGAAGGAAGGAAGGCGGGGCTTGGTGTGGGCAAAATCTGGGGCTTCCCTCCTCCCCCTCCCAGGGTTCCTGCCCTGTCCCTCCCCCCCCCCAGGACCCCCTCCGTCCCGCTCAGCGACCCCGACTTACTAAGCTGATCAGCTGCGAGAGCGACATGCCCAGCCTCACCGGGACCTTTTGGGAGAGTCGGCGGACGGGAAGCACCGTGGCGGTGTAATTCTGCAAGAGCCGCGCTCTCAGGTCCAGCTCGACTTCGGAGACCCCCGCGGCTGCAGAGGGGAGAGTGTGTGTGGGGGGGGGGAAGAGAGGAGGTGGGGAGGGGGGCTAACTCTTGCAAGCGCCCTGCAGGCGGACACCTCCCGCCTTGCACACTTAGGGGAAAGTCAGGTTCAAGTGTGGGGGGGGGCTCCAAGACCTACCTGAGACGATCAGCATCCAGAGGAGCCCCCCAAAGACCACCCAGGCGGGCATGGCGTCCCCTCGCCGAGCAGAACGAGCTTTCCCGGCCGCGCTTCGCCCCCCGCACCCCCGATCCCGGGAAGCTGCCTGCTGGCTCGCCCCCCCGCCCGGCCGCCACTCCCCAAATGCCGGGGAAGGGTCGTCTCGAGTTCCCTGTGGGGGGAGTTAGTGGGGGATTATTACCCAGCTGTTGAAAGCATTTCCGCCCGGCCGGAGCCTCTCCGGTTGCAGCTCCGGGGCGGGGGCGAGGGGGGCAGTCCAGGGGGCGTCCAGGGGCAGACAGACCCTCCCTCCGGACTGGGCAGAGAAGGGGAGCTCAGGGGCACCCGGGAAGGAATGGTCCCCCCAGGGAAACGGGAACTGGCTGGCTACCACCGGAGGCTCCGATCGGCCCGACAATTGGTACCTCTGCCCTTCCCCCACCCAGCTAAACCCTATATCTAGAGAAGAGAAGAGAAGAGAAGAGAAGAGAAGAGAAGAGAAGAGAAGAGAAGAAGGAAGGGAAGGGAAGGGAAGGGAAGGGAAGGGAAGGGAAGGGAAAGAAAAGAAAAGAAAAGAAAAGAAAAGAAAAGAAAAGAAAAGAAAAAGAAAAGGGAATGGAATGGAATGGAAAGAAAAGAAAAGAAAAGAAAAGAAAAGAAAAGAAAAGAAAAGAAAAGAAAAGAAAAGAAAAGAAAGGAATGGAATGGAATGGAATGGAATGGAATGGAATGGAAAGAAAAGAAAAGAAAAGAAAAGAAAAGAAAGGAAAAGAACAGAAAAGAACAGAAAAGAAAAGAAAAGAAAAGAAAAGAAAAGAAAAAAGAAAAGAAAAGAAGAAAAAATATGGAATGGAATGGAACGGAATGGAACAGGACAGGAGAAGATAGGAAAGAACAGAACAGAAAAGAAAATATGGAATGGAATGGTATGGAATAGAATAGAATAGAATAGAATAGAATAGAATAGAATAGAATAGAATAGAATAGAGAAAAGAAAAGAAAAGAAAAGAAAAGAAAAGAAAAGAAAAGAAAGGAATGGAATGGAATGGAATGGAATGGAATGGAATGGAAAGAAAGGAAAAGAACAGAAAAGAACAGAAAAGAAAAGAAAAGAAAAGAAAAGAAAAGAAAAAAAAAAAGAAAAGAAGAAAAAATATGGAATGGAATGGAACGGAATGGAACAGGACAGGAGAAGATAGGAAAGAACAGAACAGAAAAGAAAATATGGAATGGAATGGTATGGAATAGAATAGAATAGAATAGAATAGAATAGAATAGAATAGAATAGAATAGAATAGAATAGGAATAGAATAGAATAGAATAGAATAGAGAAAAGAAAAGAAAAGAAAATATGGAATGGAATAGAATGGAACAGAATAACAGAGTTGAAAAGGGATCTTGGAGGTCATCTAGTCCAACCCCCTGCTTAGGCAGGAAAACCTTATACCATTTCAGACAAATAGTTATCCAATCTCTTCTTTAAAACTTCCAGTGATGGAGCACCCACAACTTCTAGTGGCAAGCTGTTCCACAGGTTAATTGTTCTCCCTGCCAGGAAATTTCTCCTTTAGTTCTAAGTTGCTTCTCTCCTTGATTAGTTTCCGCCCGTAGCTTCTTGTCTCGGTTTACAGTTCCCATCACCGCCAACCGGGGTGGGGGTGGGGTGGAGCAGCACCCCCAAACTACCCCCCCCGTTTGGTAGCCCACCGCCATGAACCGGTGGGTGCCTAATTCCAACTTCCGAAGCCCCAGGACCAACAAGAACGGGGAAACTCGGGCAGAAATAACAGAAGGATGGAGATGGAAGGGACCTTGGAGGTCATCTAGCCTAACCCCCTGCTCCTTATATAGTATACCATGCCGACCAAAGGGCTGCCTGCCCCTCCCACCCCAGTCTCTTCTGACAAAACCTCCCGTGTTGGAGCGCCCACAACTTCTGGTGGCAAGTCGTTCCTCTGGTTAATCGTCAGGAAATTTCCGGTTGGAAGCGCGTGCGTTTTTTGTTTTTTTTTTGGAAATCCCCCGCGCCCCAAAAGACCAGGTGCGAAAGAAACTGTAGAAAGTATCCTTTATTTTAGGGTGCCGGAGGGGTGGGGTGGGGTGGGGTAGGGGGGGCGGGCCTGATCCTTCGCGCCAGGATTTGGAGCGACGGCTGGACGGAAGCCAATTTCTCATGCAGGGCGCTGAGGACTCGCTTTCCCGCAATTATTGCGAATACGATGAAGTTTCTTCTTCTTATTAATTATTATTATTATTATTGCTTTTCAGTGGGGGTCGAGGGGAAGGGGACAAGGCAAGGGAGGGGGAGAGGCGGGGCCAGGGGCGGGGCCAAGGTGCCCAAGCCCCGCCTCCCCAGCCGCGCTTGTCAACAAACCTTCCTTGCGCTTTTGCGCAAATTGCGCGTTTGCAAGGAGAAGACAGTTTTTGGAGGGTTTTTTTTTTCCCTGAATTGCGCCTGATGCATTCCGGGGCGCAGCGGCATCCAAATCCCCACCCGGATTGTCCAAGGGACGTGGGGGAGGGGGTCCTTCCTTTAGGATTTGCATTACATTAATTAAGGAAAGTACTTTAAATATTCAAAGCGGGGAGGTGGGGATGTCCAACGTTTGGCCGCTTTAAGACGGGTGGACTTCAACTCCCAGAATTCCCCAGCTGGGGAATTCTGGGAGTTGAAGTCCACCGGTCTTAAAGCGGCCAAACGTTGGACATCTCTCTTCTTTGCAAAGGTGTTTTACCGGACACAAAATTCCTAATTCAGGAATTTTGGCTCTTCTTGAAATGATCACTTTAAAACCATCCAAATAATCACTTCTCTGCCCCATGGTGCCTCCACTTTGGGGGGATCCGCCCCCTCCAATCGATCCCCCAGTCTGGGCCCACTCTCCAAATCTCCCACCCCATAGGAGAGCATAGCAGAATAGAATAACCGAGTGGGAACGGGACCCTTGGAGGTCTTCTAGTCCAACCCCAACAAACTCCGTATAGACTTTTTTTGGACCTCGCCTGAAGACCCCTCCCCCAAATCTGGTTGCACAACTCTTCAAAACGCACCAATTGGAGTTCAAAGGTGAAATCGGGGGGGTGTCGTGTGTCCCCCCCCCCACAGCCAAGAGGGGGAGGGAGGACACACCCAGGCTCTGTTTTATAAGTGGGTCGCCTACCTTGAATTTATTTTTATTTTTTGGTTTTTGAATCAGGTGGTTTTTGACTTCTGAAAGGTGTTTAAGGCGAGGGCAGCCTCTCCCCACGCCAGTGGGATCCTGACTTGGTCTCAACCTGTTGGACTACAAGGCCTATCTTTCCCAACCGGACCCAAAAAAATAAATAAATAATGGGTTAGGTTGCATATTTTCATCCTGAAGTTCTTCCAGGACCTTAAGAGTTTGGGTAACATGTCCTCTCTTTGCTTTTCGCCACAACTCTGTGAGGTAGCTTGGATTGGGGAGAGAATGACCGACCCCTTTGGGAAGCCTCCGAGGTCGAGTGGAGAATCCCCCACTCTACGCCTACTACCCCCCACTGTTTCTGGGGTGGGCCTGCCCTGAGGCCTATCATCCAGGCAAAACCAGTCAGGCCTTATGATAGAGAGCCCCTCTGTGGGGTCCTTGCTGCTCGCGGAGCTCGGCATTGGCTTCAGACGTCTCGGGACCTAGCTAAGATACTTCATCAGTGTCTTGAACGTGAACGTCACCTAGCAGTGATGATGCCACCTAGTTGGGTCATGAAACATCTGTCACCAAGCTCAGATACCACCAAGGACTCCCCCACTCCTCTCCACAAACCCCCCTTTCCTTCTAGCACTGATGATGTTCCCTAGTTGGGTCATGAAATGTCTGTAAGAAAACCCCCAAGCTCAGAGAGCATCAAGGACCCCACAGTCCCCCTCCTCTTTATCCTCCTCCTCCTCCTCTCCAAAAACCCCCTTCCCTCCTAGCACTGATGACGTTCCATAGATGGGTCAAGAAACATCTGCCAGGAAATCCTTCCAACTCAAGAGTCCCCCAAGGGGATCCAGTCTTTTTCCTCCTCCTCTTTCTCCTCTCCCGTCTCCTCTCCACAAACCCCCCTTCCCTTCTAGCACTGATGTTGTACCCTAGTTGGGTCACGAAACTGCAGCAAAACTCAATGCCTGCCTCTCTTAGCGACAGAAATTTGGAGCTCCACTGTGGCTTGTTAAATCAAGGACGGATTATCCAGCCTATCAACGTGGCCGATTCCTCTCCCTTACAGGACTGGGTGGAGGCAGAGCCCTTTAACAGCTTGGTAGAAGGGCCGGGGAGGATGGGTAGTGTAGTGGGGAGTTGGGAGACAGGTTTGCTTGGGAGAACTGGAGGGGTCTGGAGGCAAGGAGTTCCATCACATTAGATCACACAAGGCAAGAGGTTAGAAAGCCCTCACAGCCGCCCCTCCCCACACCGATCCACAGGCTCGAGGGACCCCCACCCCCACCCTGTAATCTCCCACCCCCCCACCTTTCATTTATTGCCTGCGAAGAAAGGAAGAAGTGACTTCAGGCTCCTGAGAGACGGACAGAGAGGGGACAAGTCGGAGATGGCAGGGAGGCAGGTGAAATAAAACCTTAAGGAGAGACCCCCCACTCCTCTCTCCCCACGCGCCCCCCCTCTCCAATTCACACCGCGAGATGGCAAAGCGAGCGATTCCCCGCAGCCCAGCGCCGGGACGAGAGTGCTGCCACTCGGTGGCCAAAATAAGGTACTGCACTTCTCCCGCGGTCTCGCTTCAAGGACGGGGATGCGGCCGGAGAGAGGTGGTCGCGAGCGGTGGGGAGGGGGAGAGGGGGCGGCCACAGTCTCTCCAGCAGGCGAAAAAAAAAAAAGGAGCCTCCGGTCCTCAGTTTGGCTTTTTCTGGCTGTCAGAAGGGATCCAAATTCCTTCCCTTCTCATTTTGATTCCCCCCCCCAAAAAAGTCAACCCTTTGGATTGATTCCGAGGTCCTTTGATTGGCACGTAGTCAAAATTTGCAAGAAAGCAGGATTATCTTCGGTGGAAGAAGAAGAAGGGGAAAAAAAATCCACCCATTTCCTCCTCCCCCCCCCTTGTTTTTAAGCTGCACTGTTAGAACAGCAGGGGGGAGAAATTGGGGGGGGGGGGGGGAAGAGGAAGGTGACCTCACGTCCCGGTGATGGAGGGTCTCCGGCTCCCTGAGCTGATGGAAAAAGAAACCCCCCCTCCCCTCTGCTTTTCTGCTGCTGTCAAATCCGGTCTCCTCCCTGAGGTCAGCCGTGAAACAGTAGATAATTTGGCAATGGTTGGAGAGAGAGAGAGAAGAGGACAAGGTCACCAGCCAGGGGCTGAGCAGAGTACAGATTAAAAACAAAAACCAAGGAAGAAATAAAAAGAACCCTTCAAGAAACAGAAGATTTCCTCTGTCGTGGGCAGAAAGTGTTGCTTTGCCCTGGCGTTTAAAAAAAAAATAGAGAATATATATATATATATTTCCTTTTCTCTGTTCTATGCTTCTGGAGATGCTTTTCGGAAGTTGCGCTCGCGGCCTGAGGGAGGGAAGCACCATAAGCCCCTGGGTCTCGTTTTGCGTGGAAGACTAGGATCGTCTCTGGTTGCCATAGGAAGAAGGATGCCCCTGTGCCAGGCGCCGGGAATCCCAGCAGCTGGAGAAAGAGCCGTGGGTCTGTCAGAGTTGTGGGACGGAGGTGTCAGCCCCTTTGCAGGGCCAGGGGGTCTCTCCCAGAGAGCTGGGCCCCGTCTTGGCCCCATAGCTTGGGACAGGAGATTCTGGTGGTGGGTTCGTCCTTCTGCACCTGGGGACGGGCAGCGTCTCTCTTTGCCCCAGAAGGGGAAAACACCCCCCCTCCCTCTGTCAGCAGATCTCCTGAGCTGATCCTTTGCAAGTCAGGAATGCCAGGGGGGCTGATCGGGTGGGGGAGCCACCCTGAGAACGGAGTGGAAGAGGCGTCTGAAGGTGTGTTTCGGAGGGGCTGGCAAGGGGAGGAGCTGGAGGAGGAGAGGCAGCCCCCACCCCATCCTCAGGACTACGTGGCGGCCGCTTCCTTCCGGGGGGGCCCATCGCCCTCCTCGCCTTTCTTGGCCAGGGCCTGCTCGAAGAGGTTGTGCAGGGAAGGCTCCCGATACAAAGCCACTGCGGAGAGATAAGAGAAAGAAGGGGAGGGAGGGCATAAGGAAGGAAGGAGAAAGGAAGGAAGGAAGAAGGAGGAAGGAAAGAAAAAGGAAAGGAAGGAACGAAGGATGGATGGAAAGAGGCAGAGAGGGAGGGGATAAGGAAGGAAGGAGAAAGGAAGGAAGGAAGAGGAAGGAAGGAAAGGAAGGAAAGGAAGGAAAGGATGGATGGATGGATGGATGGAAAGAGGCAGGGAGGGAGGGGATAAGGAAGGAAGGAGAAAGGAGGGAAGGAAGGAAGGAAAGAAAGAAAGGAAAGGAAGGAAGGATAGATGGAAAGAGGCAGGGAGGGAGGGGATAAGAAAGGAAAGAAAGAAAGAAAGAAGAAAGAAAGAAAGAAAAAGAAAGAGGAAGGAAGGAAAGAAAGGAAAGGAAAGGAAAGGAAGGAAGGATGCATGGATGGATGGAAAGAGGCAGGGAGGGAGGAGATAAGGAAGGAGAAAGAAAGAAAGAAGGAGAAAGAAAGAAAACAAAAGAAAGAAGGAAGGAAGGAGAAAGAAAGAAAAAAAAGAAAGGGGAAGGAAGGAAAGAAAGAAAGGGAAGGAAGGAAGGATGGATGGAAAGAGGCAGGGAGGGAGGGGATAAGGAAGGAAAGAAAGAAAGAAAGAAAGAAAACGAAAGAAAGAAAGAAGGAAGGAAGGAGAAAGGAAGGAAGAGGAAGGAAGGATGGATGGAAAGAGGCAGGGAGGGAAGGGATAAGGAAGGAGAAAGAAAGAAAGAAAGAAAGAAAGAGGAAGGAAGGAAGGAAGGAAGGAAGGAAGGAAGGAAGGAAGGAAGGAAGGAAGGAAGTTAAACTGTAATTCCATCCAACAAGTAGCAGCTGTTGAAGACAAACTGACTTCCTTTCATTTCTCCAACTTCAGGCCGTCTCCGGAGCCCTCCCTGCCCCACCAACCCCTCTCCCCCCCCCCCGCCAGCAACCCACTCGAGGGCTCGGGAGGATTTTCCCAGCCACCCAAGGCCCCTCGCCTACCTTCCAGCAGTTTGGGCAGGAAGTGGGCTGAGGCCTTGGTCTTCTTGACTCGGTTTCCCTTCATCACTTGCCCTTCTCGGTTGATGCCCAGGTACCAGGAGCGTCCCGATTCCCGTTGCCGGTAGAGGGTGGAGGAGTAAGTGACGTAGTAATTCTCAAAGACGCATTCCTTGAAACGGCACTCGGCGGTGAAGTGAGCCTGGGGGCGGGGAGGGGGGAGGAAGGTTATGCCCTGCAGGAAGAGAAAGACCGCCCCCCCTTGACCCCCTCCCCTTAATAAAGTGCCCACCTGCCCCACTGCCCACCAATCGGGAGAAGGGATCAAAGGGAGAATTAGTCTGGACTTATTAAGTTGGGGATGGCGAACGATGGCCCTTTTACGACTTGTGGACTTCAACTCCCAGAATTCCCCAGGCTCAGGAATTCTGGGAGTTGAAGCCCACAAGTCGTTCCCCACCCCTGTGATAAGAAAACAGGGGAGAATAATAAGGCCGGACTCCCTTTGAATGACTTTTTTAGCCTGGATTTTCCTAGCTGAATCTGCCAGTCGGGGAAGATTCCTGTATTACAGGCAGAAAACAATAAAGTAGCTACCTTTGAACTCTACATTTGTAGATCTGGTTGTTTGGGCGGGAATGAGGGCGGGAAAAGAAAGACCAATGGCAGAATATGGGGTTCAAACCCTTCTTTTGGGGGGGGTGTCCCTCTGAAACCCCTTTAACTGGCTTGCCAATTTTTTATAAAAAATCTTCTTTTTTATAAAAAAGAAAAAATATAAAAAAATATAAAAAAATCTATTTACAGATAGTCCTCAACTTACAAACATTCGTTTAGCGACCATTCAAAGTTACAATGGCATGGGAAAAAGCGACTTCTAAACGTCGTTTCACACTTACGAGCGTTGCAGCATTCACATGATCGAAATTCAGGTGCTTGGCAACCGATTCAAATTTATGACGGTCGCAAGAGTCCCGGAGGGTCGCGCGATCCCCTTTTTTTTGCAACCTTCCAACCAGCAAAGTCCACGGGGAAATCCAGAGTCGCTTAACAACCGTATGAGAAATCAACTGTCGTGATTCCCTTAACAACGGCGGAGAGAAAGGTCGTACAACGGGGACAAAATTCCACTTAACAAATGCCTCGTTTAGCAACGTAAATTGGGGATTCCATTATGGTCGTAATTCGAGGACCACCCGTATTAAATTTATACGCAGCTTGTCTCACTAACAGGCCTCCCCCAGTTTTGGTTCGAGGCCGACCCTGAAAAACATCTGTAAAAAAATCCCTTCCTGTTTTTTTTTTAAAGGTCGGGAATTTTTCAAAAGGCACGCAAATCTTAAAAGTCTCTTCGTTTCCATAACGGTCGAAGGGATTGGGAGGCGGATTTTATTTTTTATTTTATTTTTTACAAAAGGATTAAACATGGCAAAGCCATGTTCCTACTCTGCTAATCCCTTTGTAAATGCCTCCATTTCGCTCGTCTTAAAACAAGATTTTCCGTAGCCATCGCCTCTCGCCCGGATTTAGGCCAAATGGGTGGGGTGTCATAGCAGAGACCGGCCACCAGGTGGCGATGCTCGTCTCTGCCTTAACCCAGCATTCCTCAAAGAATTCACCCGATAATCCAGCTGGATTTATTTTTTATTTTTATTTTATTTTTATTATTTTTTGGCCTTCCCAGAATGGAGGGATGGAAGGAAGCCAAAGAGTCATAACATTAATCAGAGCAAAATGTCCCAGCACAAAACATCATTTTTTCCCCTCCCCCCCTTCTCTGCTGCTTTTGGGGAGGGGGAGGGGAAAATGTTCCCCCCACCCCCAGCCAAATTTCTCCCAAACTCTTTTAATTGTCATTAAACGATCTTGGATACGTGTCTTGGAAGAAGAGAAGGAGGGATGAAAAAACACGGAGGGGCATAAGAAGGACAAGACAGAGAAGGAGTCCTCGGTTTACGTCCGTAAATGAGCCCAGAATTTCCACTCGTCTCCTCCCTTGTTTTGATGTACAGGTAGTCCTCAGTTTATGACCCCAATTGGGCCCAAAGATATCCGTGGCTAAGCGAGGCAACGGCTAAGTGAGCTCTGCCCTATTTTACGGCCTTCCTTGCCACGGTCGTTAAGCGAATCACTGCAATTCTTCAGTGAGGAACACCGTTGTTAAGGGGGAACCTGCCTTCCTCCTTGACTTTGCTTGCCAGAAAAATCGCCAAAAGGGATCACGTGACAGACACACACACCCCTGGGACACCGCGACCGTCGTAAACATGAACCGGTGGCCAAGCGTCTGAATTTTGATCAATGACTATGCTGCAAACGGTCGTAAGTCTGAAACACGGTGGTAAGCCGCTTTTGTTCAGCGCCGTTGCAACTTCGGTCACTAAAAAAGGGTCGTTGGTCCAGGACTTCCTGTAGAGGCGTATAAAATTCACCCACTATCTTAACGCATTGTAAGCCGCCCTGAGTCTCTGGAGAAGGGCGGCATATAAATCAAATCAAATCAAATAAATAAAATAAATCTTGTAGAACTCTGATGGGGAGGGGTTTATTAGGAAGTGCTTGGCTCCCACCCACCCCCAATTTGTGTGTGTGTGTGTGGGGGTTCCTTCATTTGAACCTGTTGGGTATTGCTTGGAAACGGGCAGGTTAAGGGGGCTTCTCCCTTGCAACGCAGAGGAGCCTTTGAGTCTCATTATTGGGGTGGGGGGCCCACTGGAAATGAAGGGTCTTTGGAGCTAGGAAGGGGTGCCACAAAAAGGAATAAACAGGGGTACTCTGTGTGTGTGTGTGTGTGTGTGACCCACTTCCTATGCCCAAATCTACTTTTCAAATCAAATTCCAGAGCTGTGTTTGTCAACCTGGGCCACTTGAAGATGGGTGGACTTCAACTCCCAGAATTCCCCAGCCAGCTGTGCTGGCTGGGGAATTCTGGGAGTTGAAATCCACCCATCTCCAAGTGGCCCAGATTGACAAACACTGCTCTAACCTAGAGTGTAATGGTGACCTTGGCAAACAGAAGAGTCACAGACTAAAAAAAACACAGTTAGATAAACGGTTGCTGAGCCCAGACAAAGAAAAAGGGAGTGAGAACAACAGCTTAAAAGAAACCCTCCCAAGTTTCCTGGACTTTATAGGAGGGGGGGGTGCGGGTGGGAAGAGATAGGTACTTTCCGACTTCGGAAGTTTCTTTTAGCGGAACTTTGCCCATAAAGTAGAATTAATTCAACCAGGGCCTGCTTCGGATCCGGAGTACCTCCCAAAGCGGACACGGGGTCCCCAAATCACCCCACACATGGAGAATAAAGGGGGGGCAGATATGATCAGAAACATGACTATGGGAGGGAGGGAGGGAGGGTGGCAGGGGACAGGTTGAGGGTAGGTGGGAGCAGAAGGGGCAGGGGGAAAAGCCTGGATACCAGACAGATGTGTTCTTTTCATGGCCATTTTTGCACGAGAGAACTGAGTGGGTTTGGCACGCTGGACAGGGGGATCCCCCTCCTCCCATGGGGCTTCCTTAACAAAGGGCACTTACTAAAAACCCCCACCTCAAAATGCAAAAACCGTCTGGTTCGCTTCCCTACTGCAAATGCTGGAAATCATTCGTCCACCAGGAGTCCACAAACCCCCCCCCCCGACCGCTGCCCCATATCGGGCCACGGTCTGTTCGAAACCGTGGAAGCGGTGAGCCCCTCTCCCGGCCACGGATTCACAAAGCCGAAAAGGTTGGGGACCCCTACTCTAGGCAGCTCTGGGTGGCACCTGGTCCTCCCCAGCTGTGCCGGTGGGAAGGGCTGAAATTGGGGGGGGGGCAGCGGATGTGGAAGAGAGGAGGGGGGCTTGGGTGGGGGGGGCAGGTGGGGAAAAAGACCGTCGACCGTTATACGGGAGGTCTCCAAACTTGAGAACTTTTAAGACCTCTGGACAATTCCCAGAATTCCCCAGCGAATTTTTTTTCTCCCCATTTTGCTGAATTCAAGATATATTACATCGGTTTCCACGTTCCCACCGTCTATTAAGAAAGTTACCCTATCACACAAAAAAAACCAAAAAAAAAAAGGGATAAAGGTAATGTAGCCCCATTTGTTCTTGTCCTATCCATGCTGAATATTCTGCGAAACTCTGGGGAATTCTGGGAGTTGAAGTCCACGGGTCTTAAAGGGGCCCACGTTTTTGTAGACTCCAGTTATAGGGGATGAAGAATGTGGGAGATCAGGGAAGGAAAGTGGGGCAAAAGAGAAAACCGGCCTGTTTTGAGGATAACGAAGCCCATGTTGCACATTCCCCCCCCCGCAAGTGACCCCCGCGGGGTCGGGGTACTCACGGAGCTGTAGAGGTAGCCCTCGGCGTTCATGGCGACATACTGTCCAGACGTCGTACTCTGAATGGCCACGACTCGGAGCCCCACCGGAATCAGGTTGAAGAAGGCTGTGGGGCAGGGAGAGAAGGAGGGGAGGGGGCTTCAGAAATGATGCAGACAATAAAGAACCCCAGGAGCAAATGGGGAGGGGGGGTTGGCTCCCAGGGTCTAGAGGAGACCAGCCCATTGGCTACAGTATCCAGGGTCGGCAACTGGCAGTCCAGGTGAGATTGATGCCCCAGTGGGCGAAATTCGAACCCATAACTGGGTGCGAGTTAATTTAATTTTATTTGGACGACCCCCCCCACATCTCATCAAGTGACTCAGGGTGGGGGGTGGGGGTGGGGGAACAAAATTTCAAAGGTAAGAATTCAAATACGGGCGGTCCTCGACTTAACGACCGCCACCGAGCCCAATCTTTCCGTTGCTAACCAAGACAGTTGTTTGGCCTCAATTTTTTCGGCCACTGTTGCTGCACGTCGTTCAGGGGGCATCCCGGTCGTTAAGCGAACCGGGGCTTTCCCTGTGGACTGGGCTCGTCGGAAGGTTGTAAAAAGGGGATTGCGTGAGCCCCTCCCCCCCTGGGGGATGCTACGACTGTCGTCCATCCGAATCGGTTACCAAGCGTCTGAATTTTGATCCTGCGAGGGCAGGGATGCCGCCAACGGTCGTAAGGCTGAGAAACGATCCCCGGTTCCTTTTTTTCCCCAGTGCCATCATAATTTCAAACAGTTGTAAGTCGAGGACTGCCTGTCATTGTAATTCTCAGCCCTTCATTCCAGTTGCGGTCAAAAAAGTCAAAATGTCAGCCGGAACGGCAGGGAGGCATCGTTTTATGGGGCATCCGGGGCTGCCATCTTGACTTTTTTGACCTCCCTGGAGACAGGGAGGTGGGGGGCAGGTGAGGCGACCCATGGTGGGGGTGGGGCGGAGGCGAGGAGGAAGAATTGGGCATCTCCCAGGTGTGCTCTATGGCCCTGATTCCCGGGGGAGAACCGCTTGTGGGTCGCCAGGCAGCTGCAAAACGGGGACAGGACCAGCTTGTCGGTGGGTCGGGACGGGCCACGTGCCCGGACAGACACCGGCCTGCCAGATGGGACCGCCAGAGATCATCCATCACTGCGTGTCCTCTTTCCTCCAGAACTGGGGTGAGGGTGAGGGGAGGCAGAAAGAGACCCCCAAAACCTGCAGACTAGGAATGTGGGGGGGGGACTTCGGAGTAGAGCTCCTTCCGCTGAGCAGAGCGGGCTGTGGGAGCCGAACACCAAAGCTAGAAGGGACCTTAGAGGTCTTCTAGTCCAACCCCGACCCGCTGCCTTTCTGCCGCTTCCATTGAAGGAGGGGGGGGGGCAGAGTTCTGGGGCAGCAGCCGAAGGGGCTCAGAGGAAAGGGGCGGGGGGGGGGAGAGAGAGACCCTCTTACTGAACCCGCTGCCGTCTTCCCGCGTGCCCTCGATGCTGCCGTCCGGATGCGCCTGCAGGTAGTAGCCGTGCCGGCAGAAGAGTTTGGTGATGATGCCCTTCAGCTGCGGGTCTGCGGGGGGGGGGATAATTGGGGGGGGGCGAGAGAAGAGAAAGGGGGGCGGGGGGTTATTGGGGGGGTGAACGAAAGCCTGGAGCTCCTGCGAGGCACCCGGGACCCTTTCCCCCAACCGGGCGCCCTCCGAGGCTTCAGGAGCAGCCGCCCCTCCCGGATCACCTGGCTAGCCGAGAGGACAGGGAGGCTGGGCATTATGGGGATTGTGGTGTCGACACAGCTGGAAACGGTGGTGGTAAAAGCAGGAGGAGGGGCTTTCCACGTTGCTCCCACAGGGATGCAGGAAGAGGGCAGGTGGGCAGCTGAGCCTCTTCCACCTTCACCCCCCCGCCCTCCCTCCCCCCCAAAAAACCGTGAGTGTAGTTGGCACCTGCAGACTTCTTGCCCTCAAGTGCCAGAGCTGGGCAGTGGGGCACCAGGTCTCCCTCATGGACAAGGGGAAGGGAGGGAGGGAGGGAGGAAGGGAGGAAGAAAAAAGAGAGGGAAGGAGGGAGAGAGGGAGGGAGGGAGGGAGGGAGGAAGAAAAAAGAGAGGGAAGGAGGGAGAGAGGGAGGAAGGAGAAGGGAGGGAGGGGGAAGGAAGGAAGGAGAAAGATGCCAGGAAAGAGGGGAAAAAAGTGATGAAAATGAAAAAGAAGGAAGGAAGATAAGGAAGGAAGGAAGGAAAGGAGGCAGGGAGGAAGGAAAGAAGATAGAAAAGAGGAAGGAAGAATGAAAGGAGGGGGAAGGAAGGAAAAGAGGAAAGAAAGAGGAAGGAAAGAAGGAAGAAAAAAGAGAGGGAAGGAGGGAGAGAGGGAGGAAGGAGAAGGGAGGGAGGGAGGGAGGAAGGAGAAAGATGGCAGGAAAGAGGGGAAAAAGTGATGAAAATGAAAAAGAAGGAAGATAAGAAAGGAAGGAAGGAAGGAAGGAAAGGAGGCAGGGAGGAAGGAAAGAAGATAGAAAAGAGGAAGGAAGAATGAAAGGAGGGGGAAGGAAGGAAAAGGAAGGAAAAGAGGAAAGAAAGAAAGAAAGAAAGAAAGAAAGAAAGAAAGAAAGAAAGAAAGAAAGAAAGGGAAATAGAAAAGAGGAAGGAAGGAAGGAGGGAAAGAAAGGAGGCAGGGCAGAGGGTGGCAGGAAGGCCTGAGTAGCCCTATTAATATAATGCCCGCCCTGCCTCCTGCTTGCCCAGGGGAAGCCCGGTGCCCGCCCTGCCTCAGCCATTCCTGCCCACCCAGCAGGGATTTTCCCACCCTGCCCTTCTGTGCCAAGGCAGCTGAGCTGCAGCCCTCCGGATCTCTCCGGGCCCCCTTCTTCTCTCCTGCGCTCCCCGCTTTTGCTCCCACCGCCTCCTCGGATGCCCCACCACCCCTGGATGATGGATGGCCCCCCTCTCTCCGGAAGCAGCTGAGGCAGCGAGGGAGCACCAGTGGGGGTGGGGGGGTGTCTAATCTATCCTGCCCAGGGACGGGGGAGGCATCTCCGCTCACTCGCTCCTCCTGGGGCTTGGAGACTGGCCCGTCCCAAGGGAAGCCACGGCCACCCCTGCCCCGGCCTTTGGGCTCCTGCTTCACAGGTGACGGTTAAGGGTGAGCGGAACAGGGGACTGTGAGGCACAAACGCCCTGCCAACCTTTGGCCTTGGGCCTGTTAAGAGGGAAAGACCCACAACCATACCCAGGACAGGAAGGAAGGAAGGAAGGAAGGAAGGAAGGAAGGAAGGAAGGAAGGAAGGAAGGAGAAAGAAGGAGAGAAGAGGAAGGAAGGAAGGGAGGAGGAAGGAAGGAAGGAAGGAGAGAAGAGAGAGGGAGGGATGGATGGAAGGAAGGAAGGGAAAGAGGAAGAAAGGAGAGAAGGAAGGAGGGAGGAAGGAAAGAAGGGAGGAAGGGAGGAGAAGAGGAAGGGAGGAAGAAGGAAGTAAGGGAGAAGAGGGAAAAAAGGAAATCAGAGGAAGGAAGGAAGGAAAGGAGGAAGGAAGGAGAGAAGAGAGAGGGAGGGAGGGATGGAAGGAAGGAAGGGAAAGAGGAAAGAAGGCGAGAAAGAAGGAGGAAAGGAGGGAATGAAAGAAGGAAGGGAGGGAGGAGAAGAGGAAGGGAGAGAGGGAAAGAAGGAAAGCAGAGGAAGGAAGAAAGGAAAGGAGGAAGGAAGTAAGGAAGGAGAGAAGAGGGAGGGAGGGATGGAAGGAAGAGAAAGGAAGGAAGGAGGGAGGGTGGGAAGGAAGGAAGGAGAAAGAAGGAGAGAAGAGGAAGGAAGGAGGGAAGGAAGGAAAGAAGGAGGAAGCATTGTGTCCTTCCATTCTCAGATGTGAATTATTTCTCCCACTGGTATGAAAAGCCCAATTATGACTTTTATCAGTGAATTCCTTCCTACAAGAGTCAGCTTTCAATGCTTTTCTCCCCCACGCCTCCCCAAAAAAACCCCCACCGTCAATTCCCAACCTCCATTTTTCTCAACCAGGTGCAACTTTAAGCCGGGCGGACTTCAACTCCCAGAATTGCCCAGGCAGCACCCAGCTGCTGGGAGTTGTAGTTCACCCATCTTCACGCCAGCCTATAGAACGAGGGACTCTCCAACCTTGGCAACTTTAAGCCTGGTGGACTTCAACTCCCAGAATTCCCCAGCCAGCGGCTGGGGAATTCTGGGAGTTGAAGTCCTCCAGGCTTAAAGTTGCCAAGGTTGGAGAGTCCCTCGTTCTAAAGGGACCCTCATTCCTGCTGCTCCTTCTCCCAAGCACCCCCCAAAAAAGTGGCATTGCCACACCAGCCAAGGGGCATTTCAACCTAGGGCACCACCAGGTTCGGACACGGTGCAAACCGGGCTCTCAAAATTAAACCCAAACTGACCCCCACACACACACTATTTTTCACTGACCCGCCTCCCAGGGGTGATCTGGGGGTACCAATGCGAAATCAGCGGCGTGGAAGGAAGGAGGGAGGGGAAAAAAAAATATTTAGATTTTTCTCTCCGTAGCAGCCAAGAAAACCCTTTGAAGGACATCTCTCTCTGAAAAGATGCCTTTTCTTGGCACTCTCTTTCTTTCTCCCTCCTTCTCCCACAGTCTCCTCCGTTCCTCCTTTTGACAGGTCTTGGAAGCCAAACTAGGACGGTGACAAAAGCTTCATTTTATTTTTATTTTTTTATTTTTTATTTTTTTAAAAATCGCCTTCTGGCCCTGGCATCTGGAGGAGGACGCCCGGACTGAAGGTTTTTGGGCAAATTACCCTAAGCTAAGAAAAATTGCTCCCTTTAACGAGAGATTTTTCAATCAGCTAATGTGGAGTGGAGGAGGAGGAAGGGGGAAATTCTTCCATTTTATGCCTTGTAACCAAAGACAGAGAACTCAAAAGACCCTTCCTGGATATATGGGAGGGTTTTTGGGAGGTGGGGATGGGTGGGAGTCTTGCTGATTTAGAAGCTCAAGAGAAAACAAAACTCAGTTGGATGGGAGGCCACCAGGAGATTTAGAAGCTAAAGGAAAACAAAACTCAGTTGGATGGGAGGCCACCAGGAGATTTAGAAGCTAAAGGAAAACAAAACTCAGTTGGATGGGAAGCCACCAGGAGATTTAGAAGCTAAAGGAAAACAAAACTCAGTTGGATGGGAGGCCACCAGGAGATTTAGAAGCTAAAGGAAAGCAAAACTTAGTTGGATGGGAGGCCACCAGATTTAGAAGCTAAAGGAAAACAAAACTCAGTTGGATGGGAGGCCACCAGGAGATTTAGAAGCTAAAGGAAAACAAAACTTCATTGGATGGGAGGCCACCAGGAGATTTACCGAGTTGCATCCTGCCTCTCATCGGGGCGTATATGCAACCCATCTTCCTCCTCCTCTTTTCCCCATAACGACAACAATCCTGTGAGGTAGGCTGGGCTGAGAGAGGGACTAGCCCAAAGTCACCCAATTGGCTTTCATGCCTAAGGCAGGACTAGAACTCGCCGTCTCCGGGTAATTGGCCTAAACTCCCAAAAGCTGTTTTTCATGCCTAACGCAGGACTAGAACTTCCGGTCGCCTAGCAATTGGCCCAACGTCACCTAACTGCTTTCGTGCCTAAGGTGGGACTAGAACTCCCGGTCTCCTGGTGATTGGTCCAAAGTCACCCAGCTGGCTTTCATGCCCTAAGGCAAACTAGAACTCACCGTCTCCTGTTTTCTAACCCAGCGCATTAACCCCTAGAGACCCACCTGGATACCCGAAGTGGAGGCCAGCTGCCCAACCATTCCAGCAGAAAGTTGCTTATGGATCACGCTAGCAGCCCTCCGAGGTAGGCCAGTCAGGAAGCACAGAAATACCGGATTGGAAGCGAACCATGTAAACGTGCTGGGAAATCTTCCTTTCCACTTCATGCCCATAAATGTTGGGTCGTTTTAAGTATCTCCCTGCATCCTTCTTCCCATCCTAGACTTAATTTGGATTAGGCTGATCCTAAAGCATCATTTCTTTACATAGAGCCCAGAATCTGAACCCAGGACCCATCCCTGTGCATCAGGCCCTCGGGAGTAAGCCGAGTAAGTCCCTGTGAGTTTTAAGGAATTTGGGCTCCAGCCCTTAATAATTTCCTGGTCCTGTCTTAGTCACACATATGCCCATTTCACAGAAGGGGAACACTGAGGCCCAACCAACCGGAAAGGGAGAGGAAGCTAAGAAGAAAGGGGTGGCACCTGAAAAGGGGTATCTTTTGCACAGGGGTCTTGTTGGTGCCAGTCTGATGCCACCGGGATGCCCTCCCCCCCCCAAGGTCCCCCGGATCATCGTTTGGCCCTCTGCACATGTTCACTCCAGCAACTAAGAAGTTGATAGCACATAACTTCCCAGAATCGAATTTTCTTCCAAATTTTCTTATGGATTGTACAAGAATTTTAAAAATTTGAAATGCTACCTGTGTTTATCTTTATGAATAACTCAAGGTGGCCAACAGACCCCACACCCCCAATGCTCTTTTCCCCACAACAACAGTCCTTATTATTGCATAAATGCATTGTAAGCCGCCCTGAGTCTCCGGAGAAGGGCGGCATATAAATCAAA